GGCGTCGTCCGCTACGAACACAGGTGGAACGTGCACATCCGGTGAACTAGCCATCTTTACAAGTTCTGGCAGGCCTGCTTTTTTGTTGTCTATGTCTTTCTGCAGGAGTGTCGTTTGCCAGACACCTGCATCTTCTTCTGATCCTGGTGCACCAATATCAGTATACAAAAACTTGTAATTGGCATCAACAACGGCGAAAAGAATAACACTAAAACTTTTTTTACAGTTCCGATAAATTGTTCCCGATTTCGGCGGCTTCTTTATAAGCACGTGTTTTCCATCGATTGCTCCAAAGCAGTTCGGGAAATTCCATTTCTGACTGAAGCCTTCCATTACATTTTTCGACTCTTCTTCAGTGCAGAGTGTTCTTATGAAGTCTCCTCCTAGCTCTTTGTAGATGGCATGGCACGTTTCATAAATAATGTCATTGACGCTAGAATGGCCCAGTCTAAACTGACAGCTGAGCGAATGCTGGCGCTCTCGTGCAACGAAAAACAAAAACAATGTTCTTAGTCAATTATTTGCGCCAGACGACAAAATGTACGAAGTGTACAAATACAAATGGTGCCCAGTTGTTTTATAGCGACAGTTTAGTAGAATATTAGCTAGACACATTTATGCTGAATGTTACAGCTACATGTACACAGTTGAATATGATTTTGAGCGTGTTCATATATAGAAATTGGGTGCCGCAGCGTGGTCACATGAAACTGGTCTACACTGGTCTTGCTTCTTTCGCATGCACAAAGGTTTCTGCAAAAACATGCAATCGTGCGACACCTACCTGAAGCGAGGTATCGCAGCGTGACTTGCAGGGGTGTTTCTGCCGATATAGAATGGCGCATCACTGTGTCCTTCTTTCGTATGCGAGTTTCCACGCATGACAGCAGTTGCAGAAACTGCTCTCTGCTGACACGAAGCAGCCTCCGGTATTCTTCGTGGTCAGTTTTCAAGAGCTCTTTGTACAAAAGATCTTGGACGCCTAATTCTTTCCTTCTCACTCAGTCCTTTTGCCAGCAACTCCGTTTTCTCCGGAAGGAATAACAGTCCTCGTCAATTTCACACAACGCGACAGCCATTGCAGCCAAGCGTCGCTTCCTGTCGGCGTCCACGTTGTCGAACCTGTCTGCTGGCAGTGTGCGCAGGTGAGCGCAGAGTCTGCGGTCGGGAGTTATCCGGCTGTTCTCTCCTAAGACACCATCCATCGTGTGAATGTGCCTGCTGGCAGATGATCTGCGGATTAGCTATCCGCGTCCACGACAAATCCGTATTCGGTCCGTCGTCTGAATGCCCCATTATGGGAGTTCATGGAGTCGATGAGCTCGTCATCTGTGGCCGCAGGTGGTGGTCAAGCGAGCACATTAGTGGCACTAGAGATGACTCGGGTAAAGTCTCCTGTTGTAAAGGTCCTGATGATCGTGCCGTCGGGCTCGCAGCTGGGCCCGGCAGCACAGAGACAGCAGGAGCGGCCATTATTCCAGCTGTAGCTGCTGAGGAAGCGGCACGTCTCGGCTGCCGCAAGTCCACAACAGTGTGGCGTTTGCTTGGAGGGCCTCGGAAATTCAGAGCTTCTCATAGCTTCTGGTAGGCCCCAACAACGCAGCTGAAGCACTAGCCGAACGGCAATGGCAGTGGCGTGAGGCGCACGTCATGGGCGGTGCAGACTGAGCCATGAGCGTTCGGGCCTCACCGTGGGAAACATGCGGCACGAAAGCAAATGGGGGAGGAGCGTTGGGCTAGGAAGGTGTCCAGCTATTTGCACATGAGGAATGTCGATACAAAATGGAGGAAGCAAACCAGAAAATTGACGAGTAAATACTTAGAAAGCAGCAGGGGGCCAAACCAAAAAGAACTATCGGTTAAGAAAAAGGTGAAAGAAACGGAGACCGACATGTGGAGAATTGGCATGATTAAGAAGTCGGCACTAGAGATCTATCGAACTTTTAAGCAGGAAATTGACAAGGAAAAGATCTATGATAATACTCGGGGCAGTTCTCTACTGTTTGAGGCTAAAACGGGATTATTGCAAACCAAGATCTATCGGGCCAAGTATGAATTAAGGGGTAGACACGGTATGCAGTGCGTGAGGAGAGGAGGAATAAACTGCCGAACACTTGATAATGTTCTCTAAAGGGCTATAGTTCAGGATTTCAGTTCAGAGTTTTCAAAGCACTGGGGTTTAGGGACAGGGAGGGCAAAATAGACTTTAAGCGGGTAGAAATAACTAAAAGGATGTTATCTGATTGGTGGCTACAATCAAGGCACGAGTGAAATTTAAATCCTTCACTGCGAAGTGCCAGTGCTTACCTTGACCATTTAAAGAAAAAAAAAAGACAAATCTAGCTTTTCGGTGCTATTCAGGACATTGTCAAATTCCGCCATTGATCGGTGCTAATTGGCCAAGTGAGCTGCTACGACCTCTCTTATTGGCTTAAAATGCCGTCATTACAAAATTTGACAATATGGCGGAATTCGACAGTGTCCAGAATACATGGTGGAAGGAAAAAACTGAGGAGAGGACGCGTGACGTCACATTTTGTGAAGCTGGAAGTAGGGAAGAGTAGGAGCGCTCCTCCTCGCACTTGTGGGCACGCTCATCTGGTTGCTAGGAGACGATATCGCGTTGCGCTGGCCAGAGCGCAGGGACATCGCCAGCTGACCGAGCCGGAAAGCGATACATCTGATTGCATCGGCTAAGGAGCTGTGATGCCCTCGATAAAACGGGAACCAGGTGTCAGCTTCTACAGGTGAGTGTATGGAACTTTCTTTATGTACGTCGTACGTTATGATCGAGAGTATCCTCGCAGAACATAATGCACAATATTTCATGCGTCTCTGTAGTGTTCCTGGGGTTTACTTACGGCTCTTGGTGACAGTTCTTGAACGCAATAAAACGCAGAGCAAATAACCACAACGCTGACGATACGGCGCAGCTAGCACCGGAGTTTCTTTTTTAGTTCGCTTTGTCCGCGTCGTGATATCCCTGTGTTTCAATTTATTCATGAATATTTGTCCACGTGTCAATAATGTCAGCGAATTCGCGTACATTTATAATTGCCTTCGTGCAGGTTTCCCAAAGATCCTCGTCGAAGGAGGCTATGAATCGAGCCAACGCGACTGGGAACCAACGAAAGGGTCTTTTTTGTGCTCAAAACACTTCTAACCTGACCACTTCGCAGTGCCAGTGGCAGTTCACCTTCGCGGGGATGCCGTTCCTACTGCCGTAGGAACCTTTATTGGAGAGACATGTAAATTGACTGCATGCTTATACGTCGGTATTGTGCCCAAAAGCGAGTGTACTGGAAATGGAACAACGTTTTAGTGAGTGCAAGCGCTGCTATTGATTTTTTCGAATAAACTTCCAGTTTCGGGCTTCAAGTCTATTGAGCTGAATGCAAGAGAGAAACTGTGCAACTCGGCAGGGTAATCGCCGTGGACGTCTTTTTTTTTTTTTTTTTTTTTTATCAGGTGAACCGGTAGCGTGCGTGACATACTTTAACAGTACCATCTGCATTGGCCTTCTTCCATAGAAGCATGTTGCACCTTCAGATTATCCCTTGCATCTGTGCGTCATAACATTCGCACCATAGAGTTTCATACAACGTGGCGGCGCTTCAGTCAAGCTACAATGGGGTAGGGCGGTCGTTCGGGTACGACCGCTTCGAAGAGAACTTCGGTCCATATAAAACTACCTCGCACAAAACGCAATGGAATCTGAAGACATCAAGCAGCTTCGCAAATCGCCTTCTTGTGTCAAACACAATTGGGTTAGGCACGTCTTTCTACAGCAGCCTTAGTGAGAGCACCGGGCCAATGCTTTCCAATCGTCACCGTTGCGCGCGGAAACGGTTCACCACTGTCTCCAACATTAAGAGCCGTTGGATGTGTCGTTCTGTTCTCGGAAATATATTCCTTCATCGCGGAGGAGGAGTGCAGCAGCATGGTGTCGAAGGCAAACAGCGAAGGTGCGGCGCGAAGCCTTCTCGGAGAAGCTGTCGCGGGCTTCGAAAACCCCTCGCGATAGCACGTTCAATGCCGCGCACGCAACCGTGACCACATACTCACTGAAGGATGAACTTCTAAAACCTTACGTTATTCGCGAACACAACGATTGATTGATTGATTAGAACTTTATTTTGGTCCTGAGAAGATGCAGGGGAGACCCCGTGCCACCCGGCTAATCCCACGTAGGGACTGTCAAGCCGAGCTTGTCGGCCCAATCACGAGCACTCTGGACGGACAGGGTTTGATCCTTAACTTACGCAGCCCACCTGTCCTCACAGGGCGGGGCCGATGGCTTTACATTCCCACAACACATGGTTGAATGTTGCTATCAATCCACAAGCGGGGAAATCCGCACTTGGATACCGTTCAGGGTAAATGGCATGAAGAACCACAGATTTGCAGAGATTGATGGACATCTGCGATAATGAGAGAGATAGGTTAGATTTCAGATTCAGTAAGAAAAAAACAACAGTCATGATTTTTTACGATAATGAAGGTAGTGAGCTTAGACTACAAGTGGTCACGCTAAAGATAACAGATAAATACAAATATCTGAACCAAGACATATCGGGCCCAATACGAAGGGTAAGACACGCTGTGCAGTGCATGTGCAGAGGAGGAAGAAACTGCCGAACACTTGATAATGTTCTGCAGAGGGCTTCACCCTATAGTTCAGGATGATGACGCAGAGTTTTTTAAAGCACTGGGGTTTAGGGACAGGGAGGGTAAAATAGACTTTGTAGAATTAACTAGAAGAAGGTTATCTGATTGGTGGCTAAAGTCAATGCACGAGTGAAAATTAAATTCTTCACTTGAAAGCACCAGTCTTTAACTTCACTATTTAAAGAAAAAAATATAACTCTAATAAATAATTAACTAAGTATACAGCCAGGTGGCGCTAGCCGCCGCCCAATCTAAAGGGTAGAGCCCCGTTCATTCATCCACCTAATTATAGGGTACATATTTCTTCCTTCAGTGGGTACAGCCACGTCAATTCATCCGTCCATTCATGTATACTCTAGTTTTGGCGCGCAGTCGTTGAAGCTCTTGGGCGAAGTGGTAGCGCTGTCAAGTAGATTTTTGTCGCTCGTTTGTTTGCTATTCCTTGTGATGGCTCAGGGCGAGGAAGTAGGCGCCTGCTTCCTGTGGACAGCCTATGATCCATGTGTTCAAGATGCAGTCGTTGAATTCGTTAAATCGGAAGCAGGACCTAACCGTCAAGTGCATATCTTGAGAACAGAGTCGCCTTCCGACGACCTAAAAACCTCTACACTCTTTGGATATATCGTGAACTCTATTCGTAAACGCGAACTGTTCCCTAATTGGCGTACGACCGTGCTGGCCATACCAGAACACTTCAAGGCTCTTCACTTATGCACCGCGCGTGTGAATCAGAGGTCAGGCAAGTTTTATGCCCTCGCAAGCGAAGTCATGTACGCAGACTTCCTTTACAAAGAGCACCTCGCAAGACCGGATGAGCCTGTGAAATCAGAGTTCGTGCAAGAGTATCTCGACTTTCTGTCGCATACCAACACGTCGAATGAATGGCAGGTCTTGAAAGTGTTTAGACGCGCCATCGAGGAGGACAGCATGTTTGCAGCGCAAGTTGCCAAGTCAGTTTACTTAGTGCACGGACCTATCACGACGCATTTTACCAAAGAATGTATCGAGCTGCTATTTAAAGGCAGGCAGCCCAGACGTATTGTCACTGAGGCGCCGCTCGATATCAGTGTCAACGAAGACTACGACATCAGCAACGTTAGCGTCCGCGCGGACTTTTCCGTTGTGCCAGAGCCTGATGCTTCTACCGTGGAGAAGTCGGACTCAGACTCCGTCGAATACAGCTTGCGCATCATGAACGCCTTCCTTCGCATCCTTGTGAACAGCTGTGACGAACTGGCGCTTGCAACTGCCATGGCTTCCCCCGTCTTTAAGCTGCCGCACGACGCATTCAAGGAACTGAAACGTCTCTCACTTCAGAAAAACTCGCCAATGTGTAAGACAGTGGTATCCTATGTGAAGCAAGCAAGGCTAGGCAGTGACAGCCTCGCAGCTCCTGAGTACTGTGCACTTAAACCGTACATTTGCAAGCTGGCTGCATTCGTTGACGTCCTGCTTAAGCTGCAAAACGTGGTGGAAGGAGGCCTGACAATGGTTGCTATCGAGGTCGTCATATGCACCATCGGGCGTTGTATAAGATCAGCATGTGGACACGGGCCCATCTGGAAGACTGTGCTTCATTGTCAGGCGAACCTGGTGCTGCTAGCTCGTAGGTTTCACGAAGAGGAAGACACAGAAAATCTGGCTGATGCCAACGACGCAACGCTGGGCACTGCAGATTCTGCGAATACACTGCGTATTCTGCGACGACTTACAGACTTCCTGTCTACACGGCACACCTTCTTCCGTCCTCTGTCGGTGATGGACAATCGCGATGCAAACAGTACACCGCTACGAATACCACACCTGCTGGAATATTTCAAGACGCCAGAGCCTGAAAGTGAGGATGATGGATATGATGTACCCCTGAAACAGCGCCTCTTGGAGCAGTTTGAACGTGAAGGGGCAACACATTTAATTGCGGCACTTCATGCTATGACAGACTCAGGCCACAAGAAGAAGAGGAGGAAGAGCAGCATTCGCAAACTGCCAGACAAGGACACTTCATTTGTGTCAGCTCAGAAGGAAGAGCCAAGTGTAGTGCAGAAGAAAGCCACGAGGAAGGGATCCTCATTACAGGCAAAGCCTTCTGCTGCAAGAAAAGTAGCTAAGCGCAGTATTCTCGATGATATAAATAGTGCAAGCAAAAAACAAAGGCTTTCAAGTAAGCTCGTCTGTGAAGATCAAGCAAAGATAACATCATTTTTCACCAAGACATAGTTCATCAACAGCAAAGTGTTGTTTCATAAATTCATAAATAAAATTTATAAATAAGAGTAAGCTGTGTGCCTGTGTATTTCGGAATGCTTGCCTATTTGTCTGACCAGATTCTGCTCTAGTGCAGGTTAGTTCAAATTTAATCCTTTTTTTTTTTTTTGCACATGTAGTTCTGCTCTTACATAACGGACAGGCCACATTTTCTGTGCTCCTATCATGTCAGTTCTCATATCGCTTTTAAAAATCTCGCTGTGAATATCTTGAATTTTGTGCAAGTTTTGCATTTTCTAAAACATGAGCATGCCATAAATTGATACCTGCCACAGCAGTATACAGTAGTAGTATAAATGACAGCCCTCAAGTTGATCATTGATGAGTATAAATATAAGTTTAGTTGCAGCAGTATATATGCCACAACATAGGGTTTGAGTGCAAAAACAGGGGCCTGGCTGTCATAGGACTTTAAAAAAGAGCTGTATTGTCTAAAGAAAGAGCATTCTGTACAGCTGTGCAGCCAGCAGGTTCAATGGGAGTAGAACCAGCTGAACCTCCTAAGGGCCTGTTACATTCCAACATAGATGCAGGCGTGCAACAGCTGTGGCAATTGTGCCAATTTGATGCAAATCTCCATTTCTGCACAAAGAAAAAAACATGAAAGTTGCTAAAATTCCCGACCAGCCTCTAAATTTTCTCAGTTGCGCTGATTTCAGCGAGAAATAGAGGTTACATTGGTCACCTGCAGTTTGCGTCGTCAATCAATCCAAGTGCAAAGACCCTAAACCACGATGTCAAATACATTCTCACTGGGTCAGGGCACTAGAGAGATGCGATTGATGAGCTAAAGTAACGAAACCGCGCACCCATCTGACCGCGGCGGATGCCTATTGGCGGGACGACGCAAATTTTAGACAAAAATGCGTTACTGTAGCCACCAGCGCTTCGCAGGAAGTATGAACTCGCGTAAATCTCATCGCTCACCACCAGTCCACTAACAATGAAGGTAACAGCTTGCCCAGTAAATACCTGACGATGTTACTGCAGCAGAAACCTCCCCAACATGCCATAGGGAACTGATACCGAGCATGCACGGAACAAGAAAAAGATGGGAAAAAAAAGAAACCAATTTTTGGTCAATCCCGCTGAGTGCGTATGAGCCATAGTTGAGGCATCATCATGGATGGATGGATGTAATCGGCTGTGCCCTTAAGATCGAGCAGCGGCTCGCGCCTTGATTGTAGCCACCAATCAGTCAGCCTCCTGGTTATTTCTACCCATTTTGCCTTCACTGTCCTTAAACTGCAATGATTTGAAAAATTCCGAGCCATTATTTTGTACTATAGGGTGCAGCCCTTTACAGAACATTATCAAATGTTCAGCCATTTCTTTTTCCTCTCCACACGCACTACATAACGTGTCTGCCTATTTGGCTTCGTACGTCTTGGTCTGCAATACTCCCGTTCTAGCCCCGAACAGTAGAGAACTATTCCGAGAATTATCATAGATCTTTTATTTTGCGATTTCCTGCTTGAAAGTTCAGTAGGTCTGCAGCGATGGTTTAGTAAGCATTCCAATTTTCCATATGTCCCTCTCTGTTTCCATTACCTTCTTCTTAACTGATGTTTCCTTTTGGCTTGGTATTCTGCTGTTGTCTAATTACTTGCTTGACAATTTTCGAGTTCGCTTCCTCCATTTAGTATCGACATTCTTCTTGTACAAGTAGCTGAAAACTTTCTTGGCCCACCGCTCCTCAAATTCTATCTTGCTGCTAGCTTCCCTGCACTTGAACGATGTCCATCCCATGTCACCCTGTACCTCTTGATTCGGGGTATTCCCATGTGCTCCCAAAGCAAGTCTGCCCATGCCACGTTGTTTAATTTATGATCTTGCTTGAACCTCTGATTTTATGCGCAAGACCGCATTGCTGGACGTCAAACCCGGGACATTGACACCTTTCCTAATCTCTCTCACAACGTCATACCTATTGTAGTTCCAAAGTGCCCTTTTTTTTTTATTACAGCTGCATTCCTGTTGCCCTTAGTCATTACGTATCTTTCGTGCTCCCTTAGGTACTCAGCCTCATTTATCCATACACCCAGGTATTTGTATTTATCCACTATCTCTAGCGTAACTTCCTGTATCTTATGCTCACTGCCTTTGTTATCATTAAAAATCATGATTGCAGATTTTTTCCTACTGAACTTCAAATTTAACCTATATCCCTCATTACCGCATATGTATATCAATCCCTGCAGATCTTTCTTGTTGTCGGCTATTTATACGATATCATCTGCATACATCAACGCTTGTAATGACTGTTCAACGTGTTTTCCTTGCTTGGCAAAAGAGAGGCTGAAGCCGAGTTGACTCCCCTCTAATTTGGCTTCTAGTCCCTATAGATAGAGCGTACATAACAAAGGTGACAAGGGACATCCCTGTCGAAGCCTGCGCTATATCTGTATAGGTTTGCGTACCTGTGTGTCTCATTTTATAACTACCTTGTTACTTTTATAGATATCCTATAGAAGATTAGTTATTTCATCTTTTACATCTAGTGTGTCCAGTATTCCCCACAAGTCTTCTTGAATCACACTATCGTAAGCTCCCTTGATATTGTTACGGGGAATAAAGTATACACAATGAATATACTGGCGAGCAAATGCGTACAATGCTGCTGCAGTCCGAGCACGTTCCCCACAGCACTTCGTCGTCATCATCCTCAGGCATCTACTGAGCCCGTGACAATATCTAGAAATGCCAGCCACAGAGGCCTGTGTTCTTTTTCCTCTATTTCAATACACTGCATCAATGAAAACAGATTGTCCTCCAACCTCCTGCCTTTACGGAACCCATTTTGTAGTTCCCCCAGCACCCATGTCTGCAGTCTTTTCTTCACTTTCTACATCACCAGCCTGTAAACAACTGATGTCACTGTTATAGGACAGTAGTTGTTTATATCAGCTTTGTCCCCGTTTTCTTTATAGATCATGCTGATCCTGCTTAGTTTTCACCCATTGGGGGCTTCACCATCCATTATTGCTGTGCTCGCTGCCTCTCTTAATGTTTGCTTAGAGTGTGGTCTTAGTTTCTTTATTAGTATAATTGGGATGCCGTCAGATCCTGTTGATCTGCTATTAGGAACCCCCTTCTCTGCCTTTTCCCACTCGCGTCCCAGTGGAGCCACTGCACTAATTGGTCCATCCTCATCTGGTATAATGCATGCAGCAATTTCTTTGTGTTTAAATTTCTCTGTCATCATTGTTCCTATATATTCCATTGCCTCATCCCCTTATAGTGCAACCCCTTCAACTGTAGTTGTAAACCTCTGTTCCATGCTTGTCTTATATTGAGATGGTCCAAAAACTTTGCAGCTGCCTTTCTATCCTTTTTGTTTACTTCCGCCATCCATTGGGCCCCTTTCTTCTAATCTTTTCACTGATCATATTGGACGCTTCCCTGCAACTCAAAAAGTTATGTCGTCCCAGTGGAGCCACTGCGCTAATTGGTCCATCCTCATCTGGTATGGTGCATGCAGCGCTTTCTTGGTGTTAAAATTTGTCTGTCATCATTGTTCTCATATATTCCATTGCCTCATCCCCTTTTAGTCTAATCATAGTAATATTGTATGAAACTCTATGAGTCTAATATGCATTGGTTTAACCCTTTGAACTGCCCGAACCCTCACTCAATGCGCTCTCTCAAGGCAGCTGGGCGGCGACATTACATTCCAGCACCATTTCTGGATGGATGGATATGGCTGTACCCTTTAGATCGGGCGGCGGCTAATGCCACCCAGCCGTAATATTTAGTGAACTAACCACGAGGCTTATCTTTTTTTTTTCTTTAAATAGTAAAGTTGAGGACTAGTACTTTGCAGTGAAGGGTTTAATTTTCACTCGTGCCTTGACTTTAGCCACCAATCAGACAACCTTCTTCTAGTTAATTCTACTCGCTTAAACTCTATTTTGCCCTCCCTGTCTCTAAACCCCAGTGCTTTGAAAAACTCTGTGCCATCATCCTGAACTATAGGGTGAAGCCCTTTACAGAACATTATCAAATGTTCGGCAGTTTCCTCCTCCTCTCCACATGCACTGCACAGCGTGTCTACCCCTTCGTATTTGGCCCGATATATATGTCTTGGTTCGCAATACTCCCGTCCTGGCCTGAAACAGTAGAGAACTACCACGAGTATTATCATAGATTCTTTCCTTGGCAATTTCGTGCTTAAAAGTTCGATAGATTTCTACTGCGGACTTCTTAATCATGCCAACTCTCCACATGTCAGTCTCCGTTTCCTTCACTTTCTTCTTAACCGATAGTTCTTTTTGGTTTGGCCACCTGCTGTTTTCTAAGTATTTACCAGTCAATTTCCTAGTTCGCTTCCTACATTTTGTATCGACATTCTTCATGTGAAAGTAGCTGAAAACCTTCCTAGCCCAACGCTCTTCCCCCATTTCTCTCAATCGCTTCTCAAATTTTATCTTGCTGCTAATTGATTGATATGTGGGGTTTAACGTCCCAAAACCACTATATGATTATGAGAGACGCCGTAGTGGAGGGCTCCGGAAATTTAGACCACCTGGGGTTCTTTAACGTGCACCCAAATCTGAGCACACGGGCCTACAACATTTCCGCCTCCATCGGAAATGCAGCCGCCGCAGCCGGGATTCGAACCCGCGCCCTGCGGGTCAGCAGCCGAGTACCTTAGCCACTAGACCACCGCGGCGGGGCTATCTTGCTGCTAGCTTCCCTGCATGCCCTCAAATGATGTCCATCTCATATCACCTTGTGCTCCCTGATTTGGTGTATTCCTGTGAGCTCCTAAGGCAAGCCTACCTATTCCACGTTTCTTAATTTCTAAACTTGCTTGAACTTCTGATCTCATGCACAAGACCGCATTGCCGAACGTCAGACCAGGAACCATGACCCCTTTCCATAATCCTTACTACATCATACCTATTGTAATTCCACGGTGCCCTATTTTTCATCACTGCTGCATTCCTGTTACCTTTAGTTGTCACGTATATTTCGTGTTCCCTTAGGTACTCGGTCCCATTGCTTATCCA